TTCAGTAAGTTAGTTATTGTTAGCTGTTGTCAGTTACCCTAAAAATAAGCAATCGTTTTTCTAATTAGAGAAAAATGACACATAGAGTATTACGTGGTGAACACGTGTGAACGTGAATACACACATTTTTGCCTGTGCAGATATGCCTGTCATTGGCAAGCTGGTGCGTAGATTGTGCTGTGGAACTAAGCGTAATGGCTTGTTTTCTTTGCATGGTGTCTTCTGGCTTTGTCAGAATCTGCCAGTGTGCTTGTATATGCTCTTGTTTTGTTTAAGAATCTAGTTGTTAGTTGTTCCTTAAGGGGAGGATACAGGAAAACTATTAGTTTGAGAAAAGCATTGTCAATATAGACGTAGTTGCTACACCCTGTTCAAAAGACCTCCTGTTGGTGGATAGGCATCATTGGTTTTTGTACAACCATAGAACAACTGTCTTTACTTTGCCATATTAATATTTGAATTTTCTATAGTGGAACATTGTAACAAATCATAATATACCATACCAGTGAAACAGTTCAATAGGTGTGAGGTCTAGGTAAATCTGCTGAAGTTGATTTAATTCATCGTTAGGTCAGAATAAAGGTTCTTATTGGCACACCCGTGAACTTCGAGTAGAAATAAAATCATGTAATTTCCTTTTGCTGTGTCTTTGTTAGCAGTCTTTTTTTCTGCACATGTACTGTTTAAGTCTCTTCCGTGTTACAGGCTCTTAGTGTATGAGATCCCAGAGAACGTCAGGAAAACCAGTATCTTTATGTATCCATTCCTCTGATAGGCAGTGAGAGTGGAAAGGAGGGTGGAAACCTTAGAAGTTAAAGATCTCAGTTGAACAGTAGGCTTTCCAGTAGATAGTGCGTGGTCCCGGTATCTGATTTCTAGGCATCTCATTCTTTTGCATTTATTGTAAGCAAACTAGAGAAACATAAGCCTTCATGAGGGGCAACACAGCTGTGGGCTGGGTCTTCCAGACAGTGGCAGTATCGGCACCCTTGGTTGGTGCTTATTGTATTTTTGATTAAGACAGTTCTGATCAAAAGGACAGCTAATATTCCAAACCAAATTCTAAACGAGAGGAGGGGTTCATTCATAGTGTCATTTCAAAAATGCTTTGTCACATATTTAACACAACTGATTAAAGGTTTAGTTTCTAGTAATCATCAATATTTGTCATTAGAAAGAGCACTTTTTGAAAAATAATATGCTGAAATATGGGCATTATTGTCCCGTGCATGTTGGGAAAAACTGGGAGGTTTGTTTCGTGTTGCAGAGAAATTGTTTTTTTTCTGTTATGTTGTTGACCATTACAAATTAAAATAATTTTTGAAACCAAGAAAAATCACCCACCCTGCAACCCCCTGTTTTTGAGAATTAAAAGACCAGACTGCTGAAATATGAAATCTGGTGTTTTGATTTGTTTGGATTCCTTGCCAAACTTTAAAGACTATGATTAATAGTTTATTTCTTGTTATTCTAAATGTTATTTTAAAATAGTTAAGCTGGAGGAATAATTCCATTAATCAAAATAACAGGAAATGAAAAAACAAATGGCAGCCTAATTTGTCTCATTTTTAGCTATGGATGTTACAATGCAAATGATGGAGAAATCATATAGGTTGGTATATTTGAATATATGTATAATCTATTTTCAGTATTACTTTTAGATTCTCAGCATCACAGATCAGATTTCAAAATTTAGCTCATTTGTTTAGGCTTTTCTTATTCATGAAACAAAACAAGCATCTTAGAACACATTACCCATTCTCTCTAAATATAATTTGCGACCAGAAGTAGTGAATGTAACTAGTGACTTACCTTAAATTACCCACGGTCACACGAACCCCTGCTTAGTGACAGCGTGCTGGGGAAAGGTCATAGTCGATAAGGTGTTGTGTGTAGCTGGTCCTCACGCATTTAGCACTGTGCCTTGCACATCACACAAGTCTGTTGTGTGGGCTGCCCTCCCTGCGAAGGCTGAGAGGGTTCTTGTGTGTTCTGGGGGATTTAGGCTTTTTTTGTGAATATTCCATTGGTCCACACCCATGTCTACATACTAGGGCACATCAAAAGTTCATGGAAAAGGGGCCGGCCCGGTGGCGCACTGCTGTAGTGCGCCGCTTGGGAAGCGCAGTGGCGCTCCCG